TTCGGCCTTTCATTCCTTTCACTTAATTGATTTTATTAATATTATGGATTTGGACGAAATGAAGGCAAAATATCGATTTCGCTTTCATTAACTCGCGATTCATGGGTTTCCTGTGTATTATACAGACCAACAGACAGGCAACGTGTTCGATATCTATTAAAAGCAAGAAAGAGACAATCTAATGATATGAATTTCAATAGCTGCCTCCTTGAGAAGGGAGTAGCCAATCAGCGCAGTCTCAAGTGTAAAAGTAGKTTATACTAGAACKAGAAGACAYTTTTAACAACAATTAAGCTGGCTACTGTTTACCGTTCCATTCAGCAAATTTCCAGGGATTTCAACCTGTCCAAAAGTCCATTCTTTTCTTTTTTCATTCTTCTCCTCGATAAAGCTACCGTACTTGCTCCAAGGACAGATCGTCTCACTTCTGTTTAAATGGCAAACTTTTAATGACGACAATGCGCCAACAATGTACCAAAACTGCATGCAATGAGGTTTTCTTTTATTCCATTGTCTGGATAGTGTACTGACAGCAAATTGGCTGCGGTTCTTAGGAAGTGCAATGTAGTAGCTACCTTAAAAAATGCAAAAAGCCATAATATAAGAACAATAATTAGTTTCTCAATTTGGCTCTCCTCTTTGGAATATGCACTGGCCCAATCAACATATGCCTAACGAGTAACTACTTTTTATTGAAGCATGACTATGAGGTGYGAAAGATAAAAAGCAATTTATTTTTCAAGCTTTTGAGGTTCACTTTTAGGAATAAGATAAAAGGAAAATWCTGCATGAATTTTTGATTTTATATCTCGACAACAAGAAAAAATGATGAAAAACAACGATCTTTGTGAACTCTATTGTCGAGAAGTGTGAATATTTCGAAGGCCGCGCGCTGGAGCTCTAAAAATCGAGCCTCTTGTGCCTAACCACTAACTTAATTCAGTCATGCATAAAACGCGATTGGATAAGCGTGTTTCATTCGATTTTCGAACAAATCTTTTTGTATGTAAGTCATATAGCATATATAGGTAGAGTTCTGTTTGGTGCTTTCGTTGGACATCCATCGTCATGACAGGTAACTATATACATAGACTGCATTGATTCATATATTAAAATTGTTGATGAAATAAATTCAGAGGAATTAAAGAGATCTTGGCAGACCTGGCGTAATATCTGTTTAAGACGATAACTTGCACTGCTTCAAACGGTGTTCAATGACGAGGGTGGCGTTAAAGCTTGTAACATTTAAAATTTAAAATTTTATTTCTAAATCACTTTCCCAGGAGAAAAATCGTTAAGAACAGTTATTTAGAAGAACAGACCTAGTCAGCTCCTCCTGAAGATATCAAATAGGGTAAATGCTGGAAGAGCAGTGCACGCATTTTCTTTGCTCTGAACAAGGAAAATCACCTATCTTGRAGAACCTAGGATCCTGCCGAAATCTGGTTCTGCAAGGCCATCGAGAAATGAATTTCGTGCCATGTGGAGTGTTTAGTCGACATCTTCGAGGTCAAGTCACACATAGCGGCATTTCYTCTAACTCTTACTGCAAAGGAGAGGAAGGTTTCTTCGCGCTCTGTCGGTGCTGAAAAAGCTCAGTTCTTAGGAAAAAATGACCGCCAGCACCGTGCTTGGCATCCGGGTTAGTCTTTAATCTCAAAGTTGAGACACACTGGAAAAGCTAGGTGGTTGCTGTGGGTCGCATCACCTATGTGGGACRGCAACGTCGATCATCGGTCATTCGAGCGATAGCGCATCTATGTTGAGCTTTGAAGCTGGGCAGTAACGAGTCCCGACGCCACAGTGCACCGCAATAATTCGACCGCACCTAATACATTAACTCGATCTATATATGACTTATGTGAAAACGCGAGAATGCCGTAGTGATGGGGTTGAMAGATGCATTCTGCGATGAGAGAAGTGATAGGGGTAAATTAAATACATTAGCTGTTAAAAAAAATATTATAAATACCTCCTTCTTCGAAGGAATGATCATGTAAGATTTTGTAGAAGTTCTTGTTTGGAGCATTCGACCTCCATCCTTCATTTTTCATTCCACAATGTCCACTATCAAATCCACAGATACCTTTAGGACAAATACTTTATAAAATTAAAGTTTTAAATATTCSTTGGAAAATGGAGATATAGTAGATGAGAAGTGCTCAGAACCACAAGCGTAGCCAGTGTCTCTCTTACTTACTTTTGTTCCCATCGTGTG